CCCTCCCCCCCTCTCTTCCATTCTTATTTTCCCTCTTTCTCTTCCCTCTCTCACACTGCATGGCCTTATGGCCTTAAAAGAAAAGACAATAACACTGTCCATGCGGTTGCATAGCGCACTGCTGGTCTGATCGTGATTTGAGTCTGTATCGCGAGCGGCGCACGGTTCCTGGAACTACCTCCCTCTCCCCCTCTCTTACTCCCATGTAATGCTTGTTCTTGGCCTCGTGCTAAAAACACCCCCTACTTGATATGCATGAGCTTGGGATTGCAAGCTCGCGAAAACTCGACCAAACTTGCTAATTTTCTTATTTCGTTCTTCTCCTTCTTCTAACTCTTCCGCATTAGCGAAGCAGAAAAGTGAATCATTAAAGTTATTCTTTTTTTGTCGCTTTATTTTGTCGCCGCGTCGTTCTGAGACTGACCGGAACCTGTCTGCTGCAGGGCCACAACCAACCGGAAGTTGAGAGAGACGGTGGCGCTTGAGCTGAGCTTCGTCAACTCGAACCTACAGCTGCTCAAGGAACAGCTGGCCGAGCTCAACAGCTCGGTGGAGCTCTACCAGAATGAGAGGTAAGTCAAATAATCAGTTGACGTTTGCATTATGCTCGAAATTCCTGGTGTGTACGGCCTGACAAAGGGCCGGGTTTCTTCCTCGACGGCCGCCGTCTAATTGCAATCAGAATTGATAAATGTTACACATGCGAGGAAAAGTATACCCCACCGTCCAAACACAAATATGATTAAATCGTGTAAGACCCCTCCAAGGTAGATCGCTTCCACATCACTTTTAGCAGTGTCGTCTGCAGCCTGTGCGTCTCTGTGAAAGTGTGAAAGATAGGAGGCGTGGGTGGGTGTGGCTGCATCTCCCGCCTCCCCTCCCACCTCCCCCTCCTGTCGCGCAAGGTGAACGACATGGGCACGGCTGTGTGAAGCATTTTATGTCCGTATGCGCCGGGCTGCGCCGGGGCTGCGCGGGAAGAGTGCGGGGGCTAGGAGAGGGAGGATTACCGGGAGGAGATGGAGGTCCCAGTCTGCAAAACCGATTCTTCTCCTCCCCCCCTTGCATCCCGCCGGGGTACGGCTCGCGTGTCTTTACTACCTATAAAACCATCCACGGCACAAAACACGTTCGGGATGAGTCGTATGCCGTGCCGTGTCGCCTCCGCACGGTAGGTGCGGGCCACTGAGGGGAAGGGGGAAAAGTCCAAAGGCCCTTCTTATTCTGTATAAAATGACCACCAACTACGCGAGGAAATACGCATAAATCCCAAATTTGAAATTTCGTACTCGTCGTTTAGTTGGCTGAGTATGTTTGACGCTCCACTCACACACACATACGGGCGCACTCACACACGCACGCGAAGGTGCATCCCGGCTTTGCCGAGTGCCCCAATGACCGGTTGGCGTGTCGGGGAGTAGCTGTGCCGATAATTGGACAAGCACGCGTTTTGTTAGCACTTGTCAAATGTGATTTATTCCCTTCGGGCCGCACTGTGCTGTTCTCTGTACCCCGCGCTCGCTCCGCTACGGTGCGGCGGCGGCGGCGGCGTTCACACCCAGGAGGCCACACACACACTGACCCGTAACGAGACGGTCTTACATCGGCGAGCGGGGGGAGGGGAAGGACCTATTGGAAACTGGATTCAAGGGCATTCAAGGGGGAGGGGCGGGGCTATTAAAAAATTCGTTTGCAAATATTTGTTTTGAATTTTGCAATTTTTATAGATGGCAATTTGTACAGCAGCGAGATGATTGTGTGTGAAACATTACTGCACTGCACATCATGCTTATTCCGCACAAGTATTTTAAAGTATACCGGTCATACATTGAAACAAACAAAATGTGGAAAAAAATGTTCGTGCTCTTATTTCAGTGTGAACAATACAACAATAAGGTTGGAAGTCTTAGAAATTTTCCGGAAAATGTACCAAAAATTAGGAAAATTTCCGACCCTTAATAATAACACTGTTTTATGGGGGTGCTCTGTGCTGTTTTCTTGCTTGACTCACCGAGCACCCCTGCGGAGCACTGGGGTCCCTCCGCTTGCTATGCTGGTCTCTTTGTGCGTGCGCGGCGTGCCCGGCGTGCGCTCGGACCTGGTCAGCGCGCATGCGCCGTGCGCGCCGCCGTGTGGGAGTCGTTAAAGAGCTGATCGTTTGTAATGACAAAGCCATCCCGGCAGAACGCATTAGCCGTTGTGATCTGTTATCTGATGCCTGCTCTTATGAGATGGCCGCGCCCGCACCGCGCCGACGCTGTATTATTTGAGCTCTATAAAGGAAGACCCCGAGTTTGATGGTTATTTTATTTTTCATTTTTGTTTTGTATTTTTGTCTGTGTACCCTTGAAAAGTAGTTGTACGGCTGACGGACCGGACACCAAACTGACCCGTTCTTTTGTATCGTCCTGTTGCAGCGCGGAGCCCGCCACGCCCATGATACCGCTGGGCCTTAAGGAAACCAAGGAGATCGACTTCAGAGAGCCCTTCAAGGTAAAGTTGCAGGTGTGCCACCTGGTCGAAGGACATAGATGGAGATTCGATCCATAGAAGAGAACGATAGAGAAACAGAGGGGGGAGGGGGGGGGGTTGATTTACCGAGGCCTCATAGTGAGGCACCATGTTCACCGAGCAGCGGGCAGTAAGCGCACTCTTTGAGCTGTAAGTTCGACGGATAGCTCGTTTGTTCGGCACAACTTTCACATCCTCCCGCCTCTGCAGCTCACGCTCGCTTCGTATTTTCCGTCTCTCTCCCTCTCACTATCTTTCTCGACGGCGAAGGCGACGACTACGACTCTCCCGTCCTGGCCGCCGGGGGGTGGCGGACCTCTGTGGTGTGGACTCGGATTGACTGCTCTCGAGTTCTTGGTTGTCATTTAGCGGGCGGGTGCGATTCGCGAAAGGGAAGAAGAGGTTTAGGGCGGGGAAGGGGGTATCTCCGCAACGTGTTTGACTCGCGTGCATTTCCCCGAACGGCTTTTAATTGCAGCTCATGATCTCACGCTCGGAGATCATTACGTCTGTGTAATCTTGATGCAGTTTTCAGCCGCTCCCCTCCGTTCGCTCTTTGTCTCTCTCTCTCTCCATCGGTATCTCTTCTTCCTCTCTTCCTCCCATCACAGAAAGTGTACGAGAGAAGGGTCTCGTTAGAGGCAGCCGAGGGGAGAAGAAGAGAATAAAATAGGTTTTGACGTGAGAGAGCAGTATCCACAAAAGACACGATTTTTTTTTCTCCTACTTCCACCTCACTTATTGCAGCTTTTATCAAAAATAAGCAGAAGTAATTGTAGTTATGGGAACGGCACACTGTTTGAGAGGAGATGGAGCGTGCGGGCGGGGCGGGGCGGGGCGGGGCGCTCGTGAGAACGGCCCTGCACCCGGGCGTCCTGCAGGGCACTCCCCGCCCTGGGACAGCGGCGGACAGCGGCCGACAGCACAGCCTAATTGCATTTCGTGGGTTATTAAGACCAACGGCTGTCCTGCAAGACGGGCCGCGCCTCTGCTGTCTGCCAACACCGGAAGTGCACACTTCTGTCATTGTAATCATCATTATTTATAATAGAGCACGCCATATCGTGTATTATTTTTGTAAATTTATTTTCTGCCCACCTATTCATGCAAAAAGGGAAAGGAAATGTCAGAATGTTTATGATCATTATTATTTATTTGAATGTCGTATGTGAGTGTGATGGGCAGACTGCACCGGCCACGCCTTTGGGCAGAGCACAGCCAGCCCAGAGTGTTGGGGCAAAGCGTTTGATTACATGGTAGCGAAGTCAAGACGCGTCGCGACGCCGCCTGCCGATTGAGGGGATGAGTGCTGCGGGGAGGGAGAGCAGCGAGAGCCCATTTCACTGGTGAAGAGTGGAAAAACGGTGTAAGTCCACGGACTTTGCATTGGACTTACGCCCCTTTTCACTTTTCACCAGTGATTTGCGAATACAAAACATTTCTTTATCGCCGCCCCTAAAGGCACGGCGCCCCCTGGTAATTGCAATCATAGCGCGCCTTTCGTACTGCCGCCCGGGCCAGTCGGCGCAGTGTGATGACTCCGTTCGTGTTGTGGTT